CGTTTTTTCCAGGAATGCATCCATTACGCCTGTCATGCAAATCATCTAATGATTTGGGCATGATAATATTCCTGATGAGAGGTTCATGAAATTTAACTACAGGAACAATGATTCTAAGCCATCCGACTATTCAATTGTGAAAAGATTCTGTATTGTGTTGCTAGAAAGTTCCAGCTTTATTGTTCTCACCACTTCATGTTAAGATGACTATAATGAAATGGGACATACACATATCATTTTGAAATTGCAACGTTGTATCCCAAGTTTTGAACAGAAAGTATCATGTGCGTTCTTATTATTCACACTGTTCATGTGCCTGCAGGTACTTGGATGCCGATTATTACAGAAGGCGTCGAGTAGAAAATGAAAATGGGATGAACTTTATTGAATCTGTAATCTAAAAGGGTTTGATTTGATTGTTCATTCTCACTATGTTTTGATGGAATGTGTAGGTAGTTTGAAACTGTGTGTAATGTTTATTAAATAAATGCCATAGGTATTTTCGTTTGTGTTTGGGGATGGTGACCCAAACGATGGGCTTGAAGAGAAGCGGTGGAAGATGGTATTTTCTTTTTCTTTTGAGAAAATTTAGCTTCATGATCATTTATTATATATTCATTTTTGCTATTACAGATTTCTAATTCCTATTTGAATTCACAGATTGGGCAGTACATTTCATCAAATGGTGGAGTTGTTACAGCTGAAGAACTGGCACCGTTTCTTGATGTGCCACCTCCATCAGAAGAGTCCAAGGCATGGGGACTCTTTCCCCAAGTATTGCTTGTTTTGTTAAGAGATTAAGTTCTCTACTCCCTGCACCTGGGAAAGCAATTTACTCTTCCTTTGAATAATAAACTGAGGGGAGGCTTATCGTATTCATATTTTCATATCATTTCTTGAACTGCAGGACGATGAATCATTTGTTCTTCCAGTTCTTTTACGATTCCAGGGACATCCAGAAATTGATGATCAGGTCCAACCTTCTTCTCTTCTAGCAGTTCAGACCTGTACCTGAGGACTACCATTGTCAAATATGGCCTACACTTTCAACCCACCCAGCTAATGCTGGCATCAAAAAATTGGAATGAACAAACAACCCCAATCATGTCAGGTTCTCTACTATAAAATACTAGAAAATCTCAATTGACTTGCATGCCTAAGTATCTAATCCTTGAGATTTATTGCAAGTTTCCAACGAAGAAAAATGATAAAGGAACATGCAATGTGTGAGTAGATGTAAGAAAAAAGGTTCTGGGAAATGCCATGTCCTGGATGATGAAGGGTGCAGTGGTGGTTTCAGATGCCATGGAGGCATCAGCCAAAGCAAAAACACCCTTACATTACATGCACTAGTTCCTTCATTTGAGGTTGAGGAAGAAGAAGGGGAATACAAGCATATGGGGTGCAACCATCACACATCAGTAGCTGACAGATTGCTCTGCCTGTGACAGCTACATACTAAAGATGGCATTTTTCTGAGTAACTTAATGGTTTTGTTTTTCTTATAGGGCAATATCCTGTATCGATTCCCATCGCTGCAACGTACTGCTTCATCAAAAAGTGGTAGGAGCAGGGAATATGTGGGTACCAAATGGTCAGCAATGTTCAGTGGAATTGAAAAGTACTTAGAGGAGAAACCGTGGAAATTCAGGTCAGTATATATCATTGTCATCCTTAGTGAAGTTGAACTAACCCAGGCTGCAATTTTACCAAATAAAGAAGTGTGAAACTCCCATGATAATTTTTTTAGATTTCTAATACAATTAGTGTATGTGGATTTTAAATATTATATTGTAAATACGTTACATCAGGAGTGTAATGCATGAGGATCTAGAGATTAGGCGTTATGTTATATAGGTTGATTCATTAAGTGGTATTTTTTCATCCGCTCTAAATTTGCTATTTTAATCTATTCTATGCCCTTCCATACACCTACCTGTTGATTTTGCAGTAAAGCGAATGCATCAGAGAAGGCAATGGTTGCTGGTTTGGGAGGACTCAATCTCTTTGGTGTCATCATTCTTGGAAACTTGTTGAAGTAAGAATTATAATAATTCTGGTCCCACATATCATTGATATGTAATGCTAACAATATGTATTAAAATTTATCATGAAGGCAAATGACAGTGACACCTAGTGGACTAATCTCATTTGCGGCACAGTTATATCCTTTGCTTCAGGTATGGCTGGGCTTGATATGCCGGTTTAGTACATATCGTGGTCATTACTCTAGTCACTCCATTTATGCATATTTGGCCTGACAGAAATCACTAGCCCTTCTCTTTTTAAGGGAGTTTCCAAATGTTGTGAATGTTGCAAAATTGATGATTATTGAATTACCTATAAATTAATGATATGTACTGATACAATGTGATCATTTCTAGATATACGCTGGCTCCTTTTTTACAATACCTTTATTTAGATGGTTTCTGCTACGCAAGACCAATAATGACATTAGAAAGAGGAATAAGGCCAGAGAACAGCGAGCTCAGGAACTCGTGTCACCAGATTCTTCTCTAAGAAGAAAGGTAATAACAATTGAAGTTCCACACAACTCTATGTAATTATTTTTCCATTACCCATGTGTGGATCTGTTTGGAGAAAATCAGGATGGATTTGTAGCATTCACAGAAACCTTATAGACTAGACTTATTGTGACTGGTAGCAACTTATTTATTCCTGACATTAGAAACTTCTAAAAAGAAACCTGCTGTGGGCTTAATGTCTATGACTGAACTAGCAGGTCTAACAGTGGCTGACGAGGGCTCCCTGTCATCCTGTGGTACGGCCACGCGTGAACAGTACCCACTGGATTAAGCTTAGTTTAGGGTCATCTCTCTGCCTTTTGCTGAGTCTCTTAAACTGCTTTCAGCCTTTGCGCTAACTCTCTTAAACAGCTTTCAATCCTTTTCTCCTTCCCCTAGCTGCCGCCACTCTCTGCCATGCCTCTTCTCTCCCTGTGCCTCCATCTCCATGGCAGCCACCACCTCCCTGCATAATAACTCAGATCCATAGTGAAGCCACTGTAGAGGGGCTTAAAGCATAAGATCAAATTGTGTGTCAATAATCTGTTATGCAGCCTGGACCTTTTGTTCTCAACAGCTACAACAAAACTGGCTATTTGAATGGAAATATATGCTTATCATGACATTTTTAGATTGTGCGGTGTGCATTCTTTATTGCATTCTTTAATATTACTCAATTTATTTTGGTGCCTTCTCATCAACTTCATGCCATACACATTTTAGATACTACATCCAATCTATCTAGGTTTGTCCGAAAGATCTTTTCACCTTTGACTAGCGATATCCAAAATTTTATATAGATTGACAATACAAGATTGGGATTACTAGATTCATTGTGAATATTTTCCTAATATATAATTATTTCCACTTCAGATAATGTATTTTTATTAATATTACTAGTTGTCGATGTCTGAATGGGCTTATATTTCCAATTAGAGGAAGTAATTGATACTTGGCTTCATGATCTTCACTAAGTTGGTCTTTTTTGAACTTTTGAAGTAGCATAAATTTGGCTTGTGTTTTCCTATATTTTCAGCTGCTTAGTGCACGTGATATGGCTGAACGGAAAGTAATTACACCGGAGGAGATCGTCTATACTACTGAAAAGGATCTATTGGAGCAGGATTATGAAGTCAAGGAGTGGGAGAGGAGATTTAAAGAGCTTGAATCAGAGTGATGGACATGACCGATATATACTTGACATTCGTAGTAGCTCTACATGGTCCTCACATCAGACTTGGTGGTAATTTTTATCTGCATCCAGTGGATTGGAAGATAGATCTGACTGAACCACTCAACCAAGTGAAATTGGATGGTAGTGGACCTCACTAACAGTCATATCACCACCAGCCCACCACTGACCACTTTGCTATGAAAGTTTTGTGGAAGCTGTTGGTTTAATTGAAATCGACCATTGTTTGCAAGCTGATGTACATATATGTGGCATTGATCTGCATATTTGTATAGTTCAATTCACGGGATTGGAGATCAAATTCAGAATTCGACACGAAAAACAGGGAATACGGATATGATGTTACTCAGTTTGAATGGAGTCCCATCAGAACATGTAAAAAGATCAGTCTGTAAAAAAGGGACTCAGACTTGGCTTTCGTAGGAACTCTGTCCTGTCTAGGAATAGACATACTGTTATAACTTTCAGCCAGGTGAATCAATTCATGATGGGAACGTAACAGTTCCTTGCATTAACCTGAAAATGTGTAAGTTTCAAAAAAAAAAAAAAGTATCACCTGTCTGCGTTTGTGAATTGTCATTGCGAATGAGAGACGTCCGCCTCAACATGTCCAGTTTCTTTACTCCATACACGGAGAATTAAACGAGGGAAATCTACCAGAGGTCAAAAGGACAGAATTACATAGTATTGATACCAATTATCCCACCAGTAAATAGTTGCAGTCAATGCAGCTATTCCTACTGTTTGTGCCTTTCTTTTTTTGGGTGAAAAGGTAAACTCTGATGAATCGACGATGCATATGCTTCAGTCAGTTCTAACCTATTGTCAGTGTGAGTACAACAAGAGTTTCTGGTCGCTATCAGAAATCCAGCATACGCACCCAAGTTGAGGTGGCCAAATTACTCAGAAGTTCCTGCCGGATATGCCAGTTTGTTATTTATCTGACATACAGAAAAAAAAATGCTGTACAGTGGTAATGTCAAACTGATTTACCTTGAGTTGCGACAGGAAACCCTGTCAGCATGAGATGCTTAGCTAACATTTCCTGGCTGCAGCTGTTAGTGCTCTTGCTCTGTCGGTAGCTTAGGCTGTCAGGATAAGACGAATGCGACGGACGCGATGGCGACTGGTGCAAACAAACGAATCACCTGCCAACCATAAATTGCACAAGGGGATATTTGAGTTTTAATTATATATATATACTGGCATGACGCATTTGCACATTTCAGACGACAGCAGATGCAATGTCATTTGTTTGTGTGTGAATTTTGTGCTAAATGCAACTACTGATTGCGGCATCCTCCCTTTTCCGTGGTGGAGAACCTATTCCTTGCGACCATGCCTAACCTGGCCATGCCACTCGGCATCTCACTCAGTGTCTGCCAGCCCCAGTGCTCCACTAAAACGTGACAAGACTGGAACAATCAGGTAACCTGTCCTGAAGACTGATCAATCAATCAAGAATAAACCGTATGTACCTGTCGTGCTGCCGTCGACGACGACACCAGCATCGGCGGGAGGTAGCCGTGCAGGCCGACGTTGTACACCGGCGTGCCGTTGGGGTAGAAGAGGCCGTAGTTCCTCTCCGACGCCGGTCCGGGCTTGAGGTTCTCGTTGAAGAGCGCGAACACGTAGACGTCGACGGGCGTGGCCGGGCGCAGCGGCGTGCCCTGCTTCATCTCGATCCGCTGCAGCAGGTTGCGGATGTAGGTCCCCGCGTACTCGGGCGTGGCGCCTGGCTCGTCGGCGTCGCCCCGCGACGGCCACCCGGTCTCGGACACCTTGACCTCGACGTCCGTGTACCCGAGCCCCTGGATGGCCGCGTAGACGGCGTCCACCTGCGCGTACAGCATGTTGTCGTAGCGGAGCCCCGTGCGGGCGTCGACGACGCCGGCGGCGTTGGGCCGGAAGAGCACGTAGTCCAGCGGCACCCGCGCCGGGTCGTCCTTGTACGCGAAGTACGGGTAGCAGTTGATGAGGAACGGCGCCCGCGTCGCGGACAGGAAGCCCAGGAACGGCTGCAGGTGCGCCAGCGCGGCCGGGTGGAACGCGCCGGCGGAAGGAGGGAAGGAGACGCCCATGATGTCCAGCGAGTGCGCCGTGGTGACGTTGACGCGGCCCTGGAGCCCCAGCGCGCCCAGCGCCCTGTGCACGGACTGCATGGCGGGGAGCACCGCCGCCTGGAGGACCGTGTCGTTGCTGCCGCCCTGCTTGAACACCTCGTTGCCCACGGTGACGCAGGTGATGCGCGCCCCCGCGCGGAGGTACGGCACCACGTGCTGCTGCAGCCACGCCTGCGCCGCCGCGGGGCTCACCATCGCCGGGACGTACTCGTTGCCGATGCCCACCACGAACTCCACGCCCGTGCCCAGGAACGCGCGCAGCACGTTGGGGTCCGCGTCGTACAGCTTCACCTTGCTGATCCGCATCGACCGGAGCAGCCACGACACCTGCTCCGGCGACGGCAGGTTGCTGGCGATCTGCCCGTAGTTGACGCCGATTGACAGGGACTCGGCCACCGCCACTTGCTGATCTGCAATTAATTATATTGATTGTCTTAATTTTTTTGTTATATATCAGCATCGAGGACGAGTACAAACTCATCCGATCTAGGCTAGATTGTGGTTCACACATCCATTCCGGTGAAGTTTTAGTGACAGTGAGTGGTGATCCGATCTGTGGCCATTGAAACAAGGAGATCGAAGAAACACAGCTTAATTAATTTGATGCATGTGATAATTTGACCATGGTAACACAGCGCCGGGTACGTACGTAAGAGTATGGAATATAGGAGTATAATACAACTATACAAATACCTAGTATAATGCTACGGTCTACGGAGCACGTGATCCGATGGAAGCAAGATCTCAGTGGACCACATGGGCATGTGGCTCTGCCACCACTGTCACTGTCACTGAGAGCTACCAATAACCGAAAAAAACTGCTATTAAATCGGCCCACCTGCTTATTCGAAAAACCACGTGGACTGCCAATTGCACATATCGCCGGGCACACCAGATTGGTAACTGGCGACCGCAACTTTGTGGTGTGGAGAAAGTAGCAGCAGCCAACAGCTCATGCTCATCGTCATCAGTGGCAGATAATTCAGGAGCGAGTAAATTAAGCTGGCTGCTTGCCAGTGGGCATTTTGCGCTTCGGAAAGGCGCCGTGAAAAGCTGAAATGGCGATTCGGAGTTGAGATATGCCGCCATAGTGGGCGGCGCCTTACGCCACGGCGCACCTGGCATTGGCAAGCTAGACTATAGCGAACATTCCATTGTGACTCCATTTCGCCTCTGAATTAAATGGTGAAGTGATAAGCTCAATTGGTTTTGGCAACAGCACATGGTAATGTACGACATGATCTTAACAAACGTGCCTTCTACTCTAGCCACAGTAGAATCTTAGCAAAGGGTCCTTGTAACCATATGCGAGCTCCAAGACTGGCAAGGCAGCACAAAAACGTAGCTAAGCTAAAGATTAGGCAATTGGCAAGAACATCACACACTGTATATACCTGCAGGCTAGTCAAGAACATCAACCACCATATCCATACCTTATCACAATCATTGGGTATTTGGCGAGCTGATTATTCTAGAGGTTGGGTGGAGATTGATTAACCGATGCTAGTAAACTCACCCGTGAGGAGGATGGGGACGACAAGCAGGACGAAGCAGCAGGCGGCGGCGAGGTTGCAGGACGGAGCTGGCAGCGACAGCGCAGTTCTTGACGGCCTCCCGGCTGTTGCCATCCACGCACCTTCGATCCACTGGATTCCGCCGCTCCCAAGACAGAGGGACGAACACGCGGAGGGCCGCAGAGGAGGAGCGACCAAGCAACTCCAATCAGACGCACAGAGGCAAGGCTGTGTGCTTGCGTGGGGTTTACTCGATCGGTAGGGAAGGCGCACGGCGGACGCACGCAGGGGAATGGCCTTGGAGGCTGCTAGCTATATTATACGCAGTTGGATGCCGCAAGCCTGCAATGTCAGAGAGAGTGTGTATATCATAATAAATAGGCTCTCGCCTAGATATGTGGCTCTGTGTCTGGCTTGATCCGTGGCACCGGCAGTGGCGAGAATGCGAGGAAAGAGACGAACGACCAGCCGGATGAGGAGGGGCCCGGGTCGGGCGTCCTTAGCTCATGTACCACCACACTTTGGCACTTCCAGCAGAATGGCACCTGCCACCTTCCTTCGGCTGCCTCTCTCCGACCGCTCCACAGCAGGCCCGTATCATTTTCTATGTTTTATAGGTTTACACTGTATTTAAACAGAGCTAAACGTTTTTTATAGAGATGCCAATCACAGTTGGGTTCTTTTTATGAACTCCGATCCTACTACCGACTAAACGTTTGACCTTTGTTCCATTTATTAGGCTGTTTCGACCGTTTAAATGGTCAATCCATTTAATGGATTATTTAGGGTATAAATGACACATTTGGCTTCCATTTACCATTTAAATTAAATATATGGCCGTTTAGGTAAACAGGAGGACAAAAATAGGATGCCTGCAATCCCTCATGCCACAAACATTCAGGCCTGTTTGGATGTTGTGGTTTAAGAACTGTAGCATTAAGAAAACTTCAGCTCTAGAACAAGAGATGTGTAAAATCATAATTTAGAAAAATGAAGTCTAGAGTGGACTTTCTAAAACTCCAAAAAGACTAGAGTTTTAGCAATACCATGGTTTTCAAAACTACAAAGTTCTTTACATCCAAACACTGTTAGGTTTTCAAAACCAAAGTATTCCATAAAACTATGATATTTTTCTAAAACAACAAAAAAAAGACTTTGCATCTAAACAAGGCCGGAATGTTTTAGTAGAAAACCTTGACTATCATTGTTTTTCTATTTTTCAACCGCTTGTTCTCTCTCCCTCCCTCCCTCCTCTCTCTCCCTCCTATTGTTGTCCATCAAATGGCTCACAATCTTTCTTTTAACATCAGGCCAAAAAGCAGCGGTGATTTCTCTCTCTTGTAGGGTGTTTAGTTTGATGAACCACTACATCTGAGAATTTAAAAGAAGTTTTGACACTCTAAATAGTTTTAAATAAAAATTTGGCAACTACGAAGTTGTAAATCTCATTGAGAACCATAATTTTGATATAAAGTTCGTCATTTTAAAACTTCATATGCAAGTTATGATTTTTTAGATAAATATTAAGGATTGCAGTATAATAGTCAAGGGCATAATGCTGACTTTTAATTTATCTCCAATCTAGTCCTAGAAAAAATATATTATTTTAATAGCCAAAGTGCCTAGGAGCCAATTGTCACAATTGAAGAGTATCTTCTAGCAAAAACAACATTGAGTAGTGTACCAATATTGAAGAGTGTCGTACAACAAATTGTCACAATTAAATGTGGTGGTGCATCATAACTTTTCTCATCTCATCAAACATTGGTGAAATGATTTATTTATATATCGTGCTTCTACTAATTATTAGCTTATAAGCAACAAGATAACAATAAACAATCTCTTCCATGTCACAACCCCAAAAGAAAAAAAAACTGAGTGAAAAGATGATGGACTATGGGCCTCCAATGTCGGATCTATTTCACAAACCCTAATGGAATGGAAAACACTGGTAGCTAAACACACATGCCTTCCTGCAAAGAAGAGACGACGAAAGCCTGCAATGCATTCTCCGACGACCGAAATGATGACCGGAAACGGGCAAAGAGAGACTTGCAAGTCACTCGTAAAACGCTTTGCAGCTGCTCAAATAAACTTACTTTTTTCAAATCCGATGCACCGGCCCCGTGGCTTCCCTTGTGGTTGGTGCCGCGTGCCGGTGCCGCAGCTTCGGTTCTCTCGTCTGTGACGTGAGGTGAGGTCAGTCACGGCGTCACGCGCTCGGAGTCAACCAACAGCACTAGAGCAGTCGCGCTCGCCGCGTCGTCACGGACGGTGTGGCCACGCGGGCGTTCCGGCCTTCCGGGAGCCGTCGGTGCGCTCTGCGTCTGATGGAGCGCGTGACGAGGATCCAGTCATCCCTCGTCGCTCCGGCTTCGGGTAGGTGGGACTCGCGTCCAATGCAGGCACGCATCCCGCGTGAGTGCGCACGCCGATCGGAAGCTGCTGTGTGGCAACAGCCTACAGCCATGGCTCGTCGGCCACGCCGCAATCTGGCAGAGGCGCTAACCGGAAAACGGGAAAACCCTCGACCATGGCCCATGGGCGATGTATTTCCCGTTGTTTAGAGCATGCGCAATATATGATGGTTAAACAGGATTAATGACAATCATAGTAAATTAGCACCGAAGATTTGTCAGTCTACCTCAGTTCTTCGGAGGTGTTCATGCTTCATAGAGGTACATGCATGTATGCGTTCATATAGGAATGAGTATGCGTATGTACGTGAGCGTTTGCTTTTGCACTTGCATAATAAAAGGGCTTGTATAAAAGATAAATTTTATTACCAATTTATTTAGATAACCAAAGAGTAAAGTATATTTTTAACTTCAAGTTGCACTTCAGTCCATTTTTTAACCCTAAATTATGAAAATGGATAATGAACATCCTCTAACTGCTAAACCGGACAAAATTAACCCTGTGACAGGTTTAAAAGGTGGGTTTCTTTTTCTAATAAAAAATAGTTTGGTCTCCAAAAATTCATAATTAATTTTTGAATCAGAAAAATATGAAACTAGCTAGTCTCAATTTTCTTCAAAAAAAAGTTATCTATCTGTGTTTTAAATACATAATGAGCAACGACAAGCAATAAAGTAATAGGAACATAATATAAACCATTTTCAAATAAGTATATATAGATCATACACATTTAGATAACATTTTTTTAAAATGGTACCAGTGTCATATTTTTTGATTTTAAAAAAATTATTATGACATTTTAGAGATCAAAGCTTATTTTTAATATTTTTACAAAATAGAAACCCACCTATGAAACAAGTCAAAAGACCAAATTTATTCTATTTTGATAGTTGGAGGATGTCCATTATCTTGGTCATGCAATTCAAGATTGAAAATCAGATTAAACATGCAACTCAGAAGTAAAAAAATATACTTTTCCTATACTTAAACCATTTCTTGTGGGGAATAGCATCCCTCCATTTCTCCGGTCGTTACGAATTCTCCACCATGTTTCTCTCGTGTGCAGGCAAAACAAAAAAAACTTGGGGATGTTTATTTGGAGCTCAGGTGCTAGCCTAGCCAACCATCCATTTTAGTCATAGGCCATCAAAATGCAACGCCTCAAAATGTTACCTGAGACAAAAATTCTTTAGCTCTGAACCGAACAGTCCCTTCGCACGTCTTCAACGGTTTTTTTAAACTCATTCTCTAAATCATCATTTGAAGAACCATTTAAATAAAAATTATTCTTTATATATTTCCATCCTCCAATAGCTTTATGCACGCCCTTTGAAGAGTCAACCTCACTCTCTATATCTTTGCCTAAAAAAACCTGGAATAGAGGATCACAATATTTAGAGATCTAATATTAAAAAAGCTGTTAGATGACTTTTTTCACTCAAAATGTATTTTCCTGTCAGTACAAAGAGGATATAAAGAGTCTCTTTAAGTTGCTTTTAGCTCCTACCTGTGACGCCAAACCAATAGAATAAAGTGAGACGAAGGCCGAGGATGGGCCTTTTCTATTTAATGTATGAGGTGAAATCCTACTATCGACGATATGGACAAGGACAACGTACTCCTTTCGTCCTAAAATAAGTGTCATTATCATTTCTTGAGAAGTTAAACCTTTTCAACACTGACCAAATGTGTACAAAAAATCATTGATATTTATGATGCATAATAAGTATTATTAGATTAATTATTAAATATATTTTCATAATAAACTTATTAGAAGACAAAAATATTGCTAATATTAATAAATCTAGACAAACTTAAGAAAGTTTGACAAAGCAAAATCCAAAACGACATTTATTTTGGAACAGAGAGAGCACGAGCCATAGGTTTTAGACGATGGGACGAGAAGCTGATACTTACAATCACCACCCAGCCAAGTTTTTTCGTGATGGCCTGTTCCGTCAGGGAAAGTGTAGAAACCGTCAGGGAAGGTCATCCGTGATGGTTACCGTCAGGGAAAATCTACTGCGTCGGTTGTCAAGCTTTCCGTCAGGAAAGTTTTCCCTGACGGTTATGAACCGTCAGGGATACTTTCAACTTTTCCCGTCGGATATGGAACTGTCAGTAAAATTTCAAACTTTCACGGCGGCTCCTGAACAGTCAGGGACATGTTCAACTTTCCCGTCGGTGGCCCAACCGTCAGGCATGAAATAATTCCTGACGGTTCACCTCCATCAGGGAAAATATTTCCAGTCAATTTGCTGTCCAAAATCACTGATTACTATTGTTTCAAAAAAATCACTGATTATTTAGCTATTATAAGACCACTGTTCACAGCAAGTAATTAGCCATTAAATACAATATTACAACAACTGATGTAACCATTCATCCACACTGAAGTAATAAATATTACATTCAATAATCTTAGAACATCATTCAAGTTGTTCATAAATACAAAGCTATATAATAATTAGTGCCTCCTAGTTAGCCTTCTAGGTAGGTACCTAACAGGCAGAACAAGTTAAAAGTGCTAACTCACAACTAGGTGCTATCTATCTCCCAACACAACTACAGGTAGCTAGCTACTATCCTATGGCAGTATGCAGCCACTTCTGCACAAGATAGCCAAAACATCGTCATTCCTTGACCCAGGAAGTCTACAAGTAGCAAGCTGCTGTTTAATGGCAGTATGCACCCACTTCTGCACAAGCACGCGTGCAGTGAATAGACAATATGTAACTGCTACTCCACAACTAGCACGCATGCCTTGAAGCGCGATGGAATCTGCATATGTTGCTTCACAACCTAAATATGCAGCAGCTCATGCACAACCAAAATACCTCCTTTGCACAAAATACCCAGCATGACACATGCATAGCCTTCGAACTTGCTGGTTGTTGCCATCAGCCGTAGTAGATAAACAAAAGGCTACGACTTCACAAAATACTTCCTGCTACCGCACAACTCAATGGCCATCGCTGTTGTCCCTGTCCATGTTGTCTGAAGCATGAGATGATCCATCTATAGTCCCTCCCTACAACCAAAAAAATAAATAGGACCATTCCAGGAGGCAAGCATAAATAAATAAAACAGCCTACTGCTGACACCAATCCTAACAGGAGGCAAGCATGCATCTATTTACAACCACTGAATCACTTTGAATAAATAAAATAGGAGGCGGCAGCTGCACAGTTTTATTCACTGGACACGATATATGATGCTCCTTTGGCGAATCTGAAACGATGCAAAGCAACATAGCTTATGCTTCTCCATTGATCCTTAGCACAAAAAACCTAGGACTTACTAGCAGCAACACACACATGCCCTCTGTATATAAACACGTGTTGATTATAGAACAGAAATAATAAATTTCTTATGCTAGCAACCAACAAGCAAAAATAGCCACTTGTTCTAACAACAACTTTTTACATGCAGATGCTAACACCAATCCTAACAGCAAGACAGCACATGCAGACATAATAAAGTTGCACACCCATATTGGTACACAAGCAGCTGCAGGTGAAGATAATGAGGGCTAGTGGTATCTCTATTTTGAGCACAAGCACAAGCAAGACAAATATTGGTACAGCAAGACAATTTTGAGCACAAGCTGCTCGCTGTAGGTGAAGATATTGGTACACAAGCAGCTGCAGGTGAAGATAATGTTAATCTTACCATGTCATTTTCTTCTTCCTGAAGCAGGTCTGGTGGTATCTCTATTTGTACTTTGTTAATAGTGAGCTGCAGGTGAAGATACATAATCAATGTTTATGAACCTTGAGTTGTAGACAGACAGTGCACAAAAACAGAATTGTACCTCAAGTACACGACCATTACGCTTCACATCTCGAGTCAATGCAGCATTCTGTTGAACCAAGGCATTATTCTGTTCAGTTAAGCGACCAACGTTGGCAAGTGATTCCTCATATATTGCCAACAGATTTTGAAAAGCCCTTGAGGTTGTTGGTCTTGTTCCACTTGCCTTGGCAGCATCAATTATTGTAGCCTTGTTGACAGCACCATTTCCTATTGCAAGACGACCATGCGGCAAGCCACCACCAATATTATATGCAATTATCAAAAGGTTGCTCTTGCCAGTTCTCTGGATACTTTTCTTGCAATGCTTCATTGTAGTCATCCTAAAAATAATAGAAATTATTAGTCAGAAACTACAAATGGAAAAGCTAAAACTAGATAGAAAGTTCTTCTACATACAACAAGTTTCTTTGCCCGTTCTGGAATTGGGCCAGCATTCCCATTGGTATCACAATTCTTAAGGCCAGCTTTCATGCAGGAAAAAGCATTCATTATAGTGCCCTTCCCAGGTCCATGCTTAGCTTCCTTCAAGGCATAAAAGAAGTGACCAATGTTAATGCATATGAAAATTTCAAAGTTATTCAGAAATGGATGGTGATAAAGGAGATTACCAGATATTGTTGAGTCTCAACTAGTGGCCTAGAACCACCCATGTTTTGAGCGCCATCAGGATTTTTTTTCAAGATTCTTGCCCAAGCCTCCTTTTCTTCAAGTATTCAGCAGAGCACCAATACTTACAAAGGGACTCCCAGGCTTCATCAGTGAACCATTCAGGCTTGCATTGCATGTACTCTTCAAAAGTAAGTAGTTTGGCATAGGCAAATGTATCAGACTTTGGGCTCTTTATGATTTCGTGATAATAGTGCTCGCTAGCATCTGGACGAGCTTGGTACATCATATTCTTGCATTGGGTGCGTGCATATTTCTCAAATACATGGTCTGCTTCATCTTCAAATTCTTTAGGAACTGAATATATGCTCTAGAAAAGAAACAATAATCAAGCATTATTGTAAATAGTGCTGAACACCACTTGACAACTGCTCATACATGCCTACAGTTGAAAGAAATACAATGACAGATCCTATATGCTCACCCAGAACTCTTGTTTCACACGATCATCTGGGGTCTGTGCATCATCCCTTAGAATGTGCGAGTAGTGTTCCCACTTGCTTGCATGATATTTGAATGGACGACCATCTCTAGTTGTCCCTTCAATGATCGGAGGATATTCTTGCTTTAAAAGCACTCCAAGGATGGGGCCTTTCTTCATTTTATCATCAATTGAGTAATTAGCATAGCGGAATTGGCTGCTCAGTAAGAAAAATGAAGTACACCATAAAAGGATTAGCAAGTTCTAACACTAGCATTGTCCACACTAAGAGAAAAAATCAGCACACACATACTTGTCACCCTCAGGTATTATGGCTATCTGACCACTGCAAGGCTTATGCGGTTTATTGCAGCCCCTTATCCTCTTTCCTACAGGGGGCTGACTCTCAACGTCATGTGAGGCATCACTTGATCTTGGTCGCCTATCCGTCCGATGATTGAAGGACTGCATCTCCTGCCACATAACATGTTGCAACATAATGTTAGTAGCATACTTTTGAACGCAACAGTACAAGCAAGAGAAAAAAGACTGCATACAAAAGTTAAATATAACAATACAGCAGTAGAAAAAAAAGACTGCATACATAAAACTGAGTCTAGATTAGGATGCATAGCAACACACAAAAGATACATAGCACTGAGTCCAGATTAGGATACATAGCAGCACACAAAAGATACATAGCAGTGAGTACAGATTAGGATAGAACTAAGACTTAAACATTAGTACAATAATTTTTAGAAAAAACAGTAAACATTTTTTAGAAATCCTCGTCTTCATAATAGTCTTCATCATAGGATTCAACATCATCTTCGTCGCCTTCTTCATCAGTTTCTAATATCTCTTCCTGCTGTGGAGCATCAGTTTGCTTCTCCAGCTCTTCCAATTATTTTGGATCAGTTATTTCATCTACTGATGAGGCAACTATTTCAATGTCACCTAGATCGATCACAAATGTGCCCTCCAGTCCATCCTCTTGAAAAAATGAGATGTCATGTGATGGTTCTTCGGTTTCAATGGAATCATTGTTGATGTCAATTGGAGGCAAACGATCTCGTGGTACTACATGGTACACTACCCACCAATCCCTCAAATTAGGTTTATCACAAGCATATGACAGATAATACACCTGTGTAACTTGACTCGCCAACACAAATGGTTCAATGTTTCGAAGCCTTGAGCTATACTTCACTTCCACCAAACCAAGATTTTCAGTTCGCCTAACACCCCTAGAGGTTGGATCAAACCAATGACAATAAAATAAAACTAGTACTCAAGAACATTGCCATTGCCATTAGTACACGTCACACAAACACCACTATTGGTTGTAGCTAATCCTATCCTGTTATTCTCATACTTCTCCGACCAAAATCTATATCCATTCACATCATAGCAACCATAGGTGGACACTCTTTTGCGAAACCCATATGAAATTTGACGCAACACATTGTGAACACTTGATCTGATTGTACACTACAAAGAGTTGCATTACATTTATTAGTGCTTGTGATTTAAAACAAAGAAGAAAGAAAACTTGCTCCAATTGAGTTGAGGCATTACTATGTTTTTGAACCAATCAAAGAAATTGGGGCCTCTATTGCTACCACGTGTGCCTTTCCAACCATCTAATCTTAAGTTATTGATTTGTTGGTTAGTTGGCTGTGAGCTGAAAGCATCTAGGCCCCTTGTTGGGTTTCGGTGATTAATGACAATACAAGATTACTATGACTAACGTGTGTTTTGCAGAGGCAATTAAGTTAGGTCATGGTAATGAAGATCAATTGGGCAATCATGGATGTCATGCCCCTACGATGGAAATCATTTCGGTTTTCAAAGGATGGACGACAAAGTTAAGGATGACTAGTTCTAAGTGTCGATTGGAGTTGGAGAGACACTTAGAGTAGTTTAGGACTATGTTTTTCCTTTGCCCGTACTATTAAGGGGGGTATGGACGGGTAGCTTAACCTAGGTGAGTCTAGTGAGTTAGGTGTGGTGCACACTTGCTAAGTCTAGCACTAGGTAGCTCCAACAAAGTCCTTAGATCCTTTGGAGCAAACTTCATTCACGTATGATCGAAAGTTGGAAGTGAATGGAGGGTCAAATACAGACCGGACGCTGGCTCCGGTGCGACCGGACGTTGGCCGCAGGGTCCGGTCAGTTCATTTGACCAAGGAGATTGCGTCTGGTGCGACCGGACACTGAGTGGTCGAGTGACCGGACGCTGGGGACCAACGTCTGGTCGACTCCAGTAAGGTTCCAGAAGAGTGAATCTGCGACTGGACGCGTCCGGTCAATTCTGACCGAACCCTGAGGATCCAGCGTCCGGTCGAGTACAGTAAGCATCTAGTGAGGGAAAAATGGGACCGGACGCGTCCGGTCAGTGGTGACCGGACCCTGCCAGCGTCTGGTCAACACTTAAATACTAGCGTGCGGGTTGAACTGACCGGAGCGTCCGGTCAGCCCACAGAGGCTCATAACGGTTTGTTTTTTAGGCTGTCTTATAAATAGAAGCTTCACTCGTGTGTGGAGTGACTTTTGCTCATTTCAACAGCTGAAACACACCTTAGAGAGTGCCAAGAAGAGCAAGGTCCTAGTGAGGTGATTGAGATTTGAGAATCCTAAAGAGAGCCCTCATTAGTGAGATCAAGAGTAGCAAAGTGTGCATCCACCCTTCTCCTTAGGCTTGTCATGGTCAAGTGAGAGTTCGTGCTTGTTACTCTTGGTGATCGCCATCACCTAGACGGCTTGGTGATGATTGGAGAGCTTGGTGATCATCCGGAGAGCTTGTGGATGACCCAACTCAAGTTGTGAGCGGTTGTGGGTGATTCACCGCGACGGAGTGTTGAAGAATCAACCCGTAGAGAGCACTTGATCCTTACGTGGATCAAGGGGGAGCTACACCCTTGCGCGGGTGCTCCAACAAGGACTAGTGGGGAGTGGCGACTCTCTGATACCTCGGCAAAATATCACCACGTTTCCTCTCCTCTCTTTACTTTGAGCATTTCAATTCTTGTCATTTACATTCCTAGAATTACCATGCTAGAGTATGATTGGAACTAGGTTGCTAAACTTTTGTGCGTTAGATCAATAGAAACACTTCTCTAGACACAAGGGGTTAATTGGGCTAACCATAGGACTTGTTTATTGAAAGAAATTTAGAATTAGCCTAATTCACCCCCCTCTTGGGCATCTTGATCCTTTCAATTGGTATCAGAGCCTCGTGCTCATATTTTTAAGCTTAACCGCTTAGAGCAAGATGTCTCAGAGGATGGACCTCCTCCTATCTTTGAGGGGGATGATTTTCCATATTGGAAAATTCGCATGGAGGCGTATCTAGAAGCTCTAGACGTTGGAATACTTAGAGCCGCCTCACATGGGTTCCCAAGACCTAGGAATCCCACACAACTTCAAGGCGATGAAGTGAACTATGAAAAATGGAATGCAAAGGCTCGCAACACCATCTTTAGAGGCCTTTGCAAAGATGTGTTCAACCATGTAAGGAACCACAAAGACGCCCATGCACTATGGTCGGACGTTTGTGCGCTCGATGAGGGAACAAAGAGTGAGCATGAGGAACGCTATCATCTTGTCATGAAAAAACTCAACTCTTTTGAAATGCTTCCTAAAGAATGTGCTAATGAAATATATTCACGTTTGAATGTTCTTATAGCGGAAGTCAATGGGCTTGGACTTACTCAAATGTCACCATCCGAGCGTTGTGAGAAAGATCTTGAGTGTCCTTCCCATTGACAAATATGGGCATATTGTGACCATGCTACATCAAGGTGATCTTTCCACCGCTACACCAACACAAATCTTGGGGAAGATCAATGCTCATGAGATGTACATGCACATCACACCTCAAGATGGCTTATCCTCTATAAAGAAGAAAGAAAAAGACTTAGCATTCAAAGCTAGCCAAGAGAAGGGCAAAGCAAGGCTTGAGTATGAGAGCTCAAGTGATGATGAAGTTGATGATGAAAGCCATGCTCTCATGGTGAAGAAAACCGCCAAGATGCTAAAGAAGCTAAACAAGAGTGGCATCAAGTTTGATGGCAAGAAGAAGAAGTTCTTCACAAGCTCAAGAAGAAAGCCAATCTCCGAGATGGATTGCTATAATTGTGGTGAACTTGGTCATCTAGCTCACCAATACACAAAGCCCAAGAAAGACAAGTTCAAGAACAAGAACAAGGGCAAGAAAGATGACTCAAGCAACAAAGTTGAAGATGAGAAGAAAAAGAACAAGCCATACAAGAAGAGCGATGGCAAGAAGAGGGACTTCCACAAGAAGAAGAAGAGTGGAAAGGCTTACATCGTCGGTGATTGGCTCACGGACATTGATTCATCTAGTGGATCATCCGATGATGATAGTGACAACGAGAAGGTGGCCGCCATTGTTATTGATTCCTCATCATCTTCACCGCCACCACCGCCGTCATCCTCTACACACCTATGCCTTATGGCCAAAGGTGAATGAAAGGTATCACATGATGATGATAGTAGTGGTGATGATCATGCTCATAAGGATGATAGTGATAGTGATAGCGATGATGATGAATATGAATCATCTACTTATGATGATCTTGCTAAGTTGTTAAAGAAATACACTAAGATCATTATAAAGACTAGAGCTAAAAATAAAAAGCTTGAGATTAAGAATGATTCTCTCTTAGCTAAATGTGACATAGCCGAAAAATCTAGTGTTGAGCTTAGAGAAGCAAATGAAGCTATGTCATCCAAACTCAAGGAGCTCAAATCTTCTAAGAAAGAGCTTAAAGATAAACATGATAAACTTGAGTGGGTGCACAAAGAGCTCATCACTAGCCACAACAAGCTAAAGGAAGAATATACCACTCTTAAGATTAATCATAATAATCTTGTTATTGCTCAAGAATTTCTATCCAATGAGCCACATGATGCTACTAACCATGTTGTTAAGATTGATATAGCTACATCATGTGATGACTTTATCATTGAGAGCATTGAGCAAGGTTCTAGTAGCAAGGTCAAGCAAGTGGTTGAGGCCGATGATTATGATGAGTTTGTCAAGCTAAAGAATGACAATACAAAGCTCAAGAAAGATCTTGAAGAAATCAAAAGTCACAACACCATTGTGCTAGAAACCCTTGATCATGATGGTGACTTGATCCTTGAGAATGAGA